ACAGGTCAGGACTGAGAACAGAGGTTGGATGAAGAGGAGAAAGTAGATCAGTGATGCTAAAGGGAACAGAATGCCTCGATCATTGCTTTCAAATTTAATGTGAAATTACTTTTAAAATTCGTTTTTTTTTTTTTATTCCATGAACAATTTAGGAAAGAAAAAAAAATCCATCAAATATTTTTGATTTGATTAATATTTCTGATTTGATTAATATGAGTATTAACAGTGCCTTAGTGTGACATTTTGAATTTCTCTGCAGCAGAAGCTTAAAACGTCCACTGCCGATTCCTTCCAAATGAATTCAAACCTACTGTATATTATATATTTTTTTAATATTTCAGGCACAAAACTTTGTGTACTTCATTAGGGCTTAATGTGATATAGAAAACAAGGAAAGGAAAATGATGCATAGTTTTCAAAACACTAATATGCCTAAACCCATGCCTCAGTTTGAAGTCTTTTTTTTTTTTGCATCCAAAAGGATTTCCTCTTGGATTGCCTAATATTCAACTCTTTCCATTTTCTTAGCAGCGCTGACCAGCTTTAAAATCCCTGCTGAAGAAAATACCTCCCCTTGGATGAGGTTTTAATAGCATGTGGAGTAAAAAATATGACTGTGATCTATTCACTTTATAGAGGGTTATTAAAATACTGCTGTGTTTGATACAGATTTGTGCCTCACTTTTTAGTTTTTCACTTAAAAAAATGTCTTTTTTTAAAACACTAACAGTTATGAACTACTTTGTGTTATTCTATTCCATAAAATCCACAAAAAATAAATTCATTAAGGAAAGTGGTTTGATAATACAAGGATACTTTTGCTAAACTGCATGAGGAGTTAATGCTTTTGTGACGCTCTGGTAAAATACTGATTAATATTTCTGGCTGATTAGGTTTCTAAACATGTTTTACGAAAACTATAATCTATAACAAAGCCCGTCTGGAAACAAACAGCCTTTTAAATAGGCTAACCACTTTGGCAAACAGGCTCTCATTTAAGTTCACTTATATGTCCGTGCAAATCCTTTCACTTTCAATCAGAATGTTATTTTTCAGGGTTTGATGCCAGCTGAGAAGAAGCAGAACAATCAGGAGTCAGCTTAATAAAACAGTGTCAGAGAGAAAAATGATTCTCCACACAAAGCTGCAGATGGGGCTATGGTGGCGAACGTCTGTCTCCAAGGCTGTGTTTGTTCTAGGCTGAAAAAGAGCCTGTTATTGTATTGTTTGCTTTGGCTTGGAGTAAATAACCCCCGCACTAAAATGTTCTTTTAATTCAGGCCTGGGGTTTCTGTCTTGTTTGCATAGCTACAATCATATTAAAAGACAGATAAAATCAAGCAGATCAATATGTAAATATATGAAAAAGCCTGAATGCTTCACCAGCATGGCACTCCTCCAAATCAGATCCAAATTGGCGTGTTTTTGTTTTTTTCTTTTTTTACACAGCCAAACCAAGCATTGCTGCGTGTTTAGCACAGTCCATTTACTTTACATGGAAATGTAACCTGAGCCGAAGAAGAAGAAACCTTACCCACAGGCCATCAAATATTAAACTATATGTATGTTTTGACATGTAAGAAATGAGCTACGGTTACCCTACACATTTCTGCCATATCTAAAGAGATTGATGAAGGTCTGTAGTCCCTGGCGACCTCATAAAGTAGCGATTTTCCCTTCAGATAAGTGAATTAAGGTCAATCTGAACACAAACCAGAACAGGAATACGTGCTTTTACCACTAGACAAGGCTGCACTGATCCAGCACAGGATCTGTGTGATACAGTCAATGGTGGGAACGGCAAATACTTCAATGCAACAGAGTTATGAGATGTCCGGGCCTCTTACTCATGCTGCTGCACACTCAATAGTCCATTGTCTTGCGCTCTGAAGTCAAACCTCAAAACCTATAAGTCAGAGGTGGGGGGTAAGACAAGAAGTCACCTCAGCAGGAGAAGGGCTTCAAACCACACACCTTTTCGGATAAGGAACATTTGTCAGTTCTTGTTCCCTCACTGTAAATCCTCCCACAGAGGCGATTCTGCTGCAGGATGATAAACCTAACAAAGCCATTGCCCAGCATGAGCTTTCATGTGATAAAACACACATATAACATTTGAATTTATTTACACAGCAGCCTTTACGAACTCCATTATGAGTTCATTTTCCTTTCCTCTCTTGGAACAACATCCATGGCAGAAGTATGGCTTTAATATTATTTTCTAAACACGGCTCTTGTGCATGTTAGGTCAACAAACACTTTAAGGCTACATGTTGGATTGAATAACGGATTTAATTTACAAGCTGAGAGCATGGTGGGTTCTACTGCAAGAACAACTTTATTCTTTTTAAAATAAATACAATAAACAACTTTTTCCTCAAATCTATGGTATCTTCTCCCTCACTGATGGGAACTGCAGCGTGCAAGCATGCATGGGAGGCTTTTCCAAATCTTTCAGTAAGAGAAATAAATCAAACTGGTACAACTGGTGGTGTAATATTTCCTATAAGATGTATGAGTCCCTAAATATTTACAGTGAGAAGAGAAACTGATTAGGTTTTGTTACGGTAAGTTACCGAAAACCCGAACAGGATAAATCCTCCATCTTATAAGGAGTTATCCTTCACATTATCTTCTAAAACAAACTCAAACAACATTTTTTCATTACTTTATAACTTTTATGGCTGTATCCAACAGAAAAAGGTCTATTGGGAAAATAAGATCTCCTCCCTCAAGGTTTTTACAACAAAAACTTAAATCTTTAGAGGGAGATGATCTTATAGAAAGACACAAAGTAGAGTATACATTTTAAATGGTGAAACAATCTAAAAAATTGGCATATATATTGTAACTTTACTTTGACGAACCCATATAAAAAATCATGCGAGCACAACTGCATTTAGAAGTCACCAAAAGTACAATTTTATACAATTCAATCTTAGTATAAACACAGCTGTTCTGTGGAAGCCTTAAAGGTTTGTTGAAGAACATTAGTAAAAAGACATCATATAGACCGAGGGACATGCAGACAACTCAGTCATGAAGTCAAGGGGAGATTTACAGCAAAGTTATGTTAGAAAATATACCAATTTGTAAACATCACATAAAAGACTGCTTTCATCTTTTGCTTGGGACAACGGAAACCCTACAGACATGCCAGCTCATAAAGTTTTTTTCCAGTACTTCAAGCATTGTTGAAGTCTTTACTTCACCTAATCACTCAACGCACCATGCCAGTTTTCAAATCTGTGCCAGACACCTTCAGATCTGCACAACGTAGAACTGATTCAGAAATACTATATTTATGCAAAAAGGAAAAGATAAAACCAAACTATTAGCGTTGGACAGAACTGCATTGAAGGTGATCTGATTAGACAGGATCAAAATATACATTTTGAGCCTATTTCCTAAAGAATAAGTGAAAAAAAAAAACATGTTAAACGCACTTTAACAAACTTACTTAATTATCCACACGGCAGTGGCTGCATAATGCTCTGATGAGGCTTTTCCTCACAGGGAAAATGTGCAAGAGCTGATATGAATATAGCAGTGTTTCTGCTGCAATGTGGCTTAGACCAAAGCAGATGCATCTATATGAAAACTTACTCTGGGATGTCTTGAAATGTTATGTTCACAAACTCCATTGACAGACTGCTAAACCCTAAAGGCACCAGGAAGCGTTATCACAGATCCTTCCTCCTGGCAGCTGTAAGACCTAGTAACCATAACTATTCCCAACAACCTCAAGAAGTTGCTACATTCATGCTGATTTTAGCACTTTCTGTCTTAGTTAAATAACATGCTGCTGTCATTTCTTTTTTCTACGTCTCTGATGTTTCTGCTATTTTTCACATATCCATTACTGTAAAAATGTCCACAGCTGTTTTTTGATTATTTACTTTCCAGATAAAGAGCATTTATATTGTAAAACACTGCACAGTACTTTATTTATTTATTTTCTTAACTCTATCAGTTATTCTATTATTTTTATACACTTTTCTAAGGTCCACATTGTGGCCACTGCTGCTATAACCTTTTGCTGCTGGAACACCACAATTTCCCCATTGTGGGACAATAAATGGATTTTCTACTCTAAACACATTGAAATGTATAAATGTATATACATTTCAGATTAAATAATACTACTTATACTTCAGCGATAGTATCAAGGTGTTACTTTCTGGTCTTACTGTATACTATATCCGTTGTTTGTGCTGTTCTTTTTACATTTCTTTGCAGGTGATGAAGCATCACCTGCATCGTTACCTCCCTTTTATCTCCTCTTTCTTACATCTTTTCTCCTTTTTTCTGTTTTTCCTTTCCTGTTCTACTTACATTGCAGCATCCATATAATCTGTAATACTCCCTGCATGAATTATAATAAAGCTATTTATATGCATAAACCAGGCGGAGCAAAGTAAAACTGAATACTCAAAAGAAAACATAACAAAACCAAAACTGTGATTGTAATTGAAAAATAACCTGAAAACACAACAAAATAAGAATTAAACCACTAAAACTATAAAACATGGAGCAAAGTAAAACTGAATACTCAAAAGAAAACATAACAGAACCAAGACTGTGAAACAATTAGTCTTATTGTCACACTCCCAGACAAAAATAAAAATAAATAAAAACACTGAAATAAAATTATTCCACCAAGGAAAAATCCTTCTCAGTATTTGTAGAGCCTACACAATAATTGCTTAGTTCTACATAACGCAAGAATGTGAACATCAAGTCTTTCTTTCCTCTTAAAATATAAGGCCTATGAAATTCATTTTTAAAATTGATGGTTGTAACATGTCGCAATGTGTAAAAGCTCAATTATTGTACATCCAGAGAAAAACTGTGAAAGCAGGTGACTCTTAGAGGGACTATATGTTGATGTTTACACACCAAGCAGAGAAGAAGGTGGGGAAGATAAGGGGTGGTGTTTACTGCCAGTATATAAAGCTCCCCTCACTGGGAGCCGCTGAGCGCTGATTCTCTCCTCCCAGCTGGTAGGACAAGCCCCGCATCAGCACAGCAGAGTCACACACCAGCCGACCGGCACGATGGATGGGCCACATAAAGACCGCAGAATGACTCACTTGTGGATATTGACGTTACTGATAATTGTTTAACGTCTACCACTGGATAGATATCTCGGTTTTTTAAAACTTTTTTTTTCCACTTCTGGATACGGATTGCGGAGCTGGATCTTATACCTACAAGCTTTGGAAGGAGGATTATATTTATTGTGTACAGTTTCTTTTTTTTTTCACTTTTAATTTTTGCTACTTTAATTTGGAATAGAATTACTTTTTTTTTAGGAGGGTGAACTGATTTCTGGGATAAGAACATTAAACTCTAAAGGATGGCCGATTGGTTCACCTCTGCCATCGCAATAGTTATGATGTTATTTACACAGGTATTTATTTATTTATTTACTTTTAAATGGAATAAATATTTATTTTAATTTAATTTATATATATTTTTTCTTGGCTCATTCTAAATTTCATTTAAGGTTTTGGGATCAAGCGTGTTCGAGATAGACCTTCACCACTTTCAGAATACAAAGGCTTTGCTGGCAAACGGACGCAGCTGCAGCTCGGAGGGCTGCAGGACTTATTTCAGGGTTTGTCTGAAGAATTTCCAGAGGGAGGTGTCACCTGCTGGGAGGTGCATATTCGGCTCAGCGAGGACACCTGTCCTTGGCACCGACTCCTTCAGCATCCAGCAGGACGCGACCGTGCGGCTGCCGCTCAACTTCACCTGGCCGGTGAGCGCCTGCAGTGCGCCCAT